AGGAGATAAGAAAAAGAAAAAACCTTGGAAAGGAACAGAAAAAGACTCTGGTTTTTTAATTTCCAGGTTTCTTCTTTGCAAGTCTACTTCTCGGGTTCCTTTGTCTGATTTTCATCTATATATACATGTTTTAATTTGGGGAATTAGGGTTTTTCTTCTTTCTGGCTATCTTCCTCTGAAATTCACTTTCATTTCATGCAATTCGATGCGCGTAAGAGTTTTTTTTTTTGTTTTGTTCTGCTGTCTTCGTGCTTTAATCACGGAGTTTGCTTCTCTTCGGTGACAAACAAAAAGGTTAAATCTTTTGTAATGAAACTGCTGAGATTCATTCTTCATTCCTAGGTTTTCAACATCTATGGCTCATAAAAGTATCTCGGTATAGAAATTGTTTCGAAGTTGGGAACTTTAAATTGAATTTTTCCTGTAATCATATATGCGTTTAGAATCAATCATCTTTAATCTATAATTGTAATGATCTTTTTTCACAAAGGTATTTATTTTACCGGGGATTTTGGTTCTTCTTTACTGTAGTGTTGTCCTTGTGTGAGCTATGAATACAGAATCCAAAGGAAGAGCATGGTATGACAAATTCTACCGTAAATTAGAAACGATTCTTGTGGAGTTAGACGGTTTGGCTTCTCAGGTACTTTAGCTAGTTTCTAAGTCTCTTAGTTTCTTCAATGGACTTCCTTGTGATGTAATCATATTAACTTTGATGATTTAAAAGGATGTAGAGTAGAAGGAAATGAAGTCTCTTGGTTCTTATGTTGGACAGGTCAAGGTTTCTTCAAAATCAAGTGATCCTCCAGGATTGGATTCTGTAAGCAATGGACTCGAGAAACTCGCAGAGGATCATTGTTCGGGCACTTTTGATTTAGAGCAACGCAATAATGGCCTTCCCCTGCAGGAATGTAAAAGCCCTTCTGGTCTTCCATCAGATCAGAAGTTTGATATTTTGCAAAATGTTCGTTTAGAGGGAGATAGTTGTAAGGAGACTGATGAGAAAAAGCTCTCGAACTCTTTATTGCGTGAAGGGCACAATGATTGTAATCAGAGAGTAGCCACTTCCCTTTGCCGGGAAGAACCAATATCTTCTCAATCGACTCACCGCTCTCCGGAAAGCTTTATGACTACAATAGCATGTAATGATGATACTTTTGTATCTCCATCTATGATTTCTACGGGTAATCCAAATCTAATCCAACTCGCTACAGAGATTCAAGCTGTACCTGTTCCAGACAAAGTGGCAAACATTGGATCCTTCAGCACCAACTCTATGAATGGTTTGTGTGTGTGTTTGCTCATCTTCTTCTATAAGTTTTCGGATTGGTCTCTGTGCAGTTTTGTTAGTTTCATCATGTGCAACTGTTAATGTGTAGTTAATCAAGATGAGTTCTTCATTGAAGACTTCGATGATGCTACATTGGATACCATTGATTTGTACGACATGACATTTCGTGAAGATCCCTCAGATTTTGACGACAATTTGCTATATGCAGCGCGTGACAGGACTAGGCAACTCAGATCATTCAAGGTCCTCTTTCTTTCTCTCTCACACACAGAGGCATAGTGGCCATTGCTTTGATCCTTAAATATGTTTCTTTTCTATGATAATCATCAGAGAAAGATAATGGATGCGTTAACTTCGAAAAGAAGAAGAGAGAAGGAATATGAGCAGCTTGCAATATGGTTTGGAGATGCAGACATGGGTTGTGATCTGATGAACACTAAGGAACATGCTACAATACCTCTAGACTCCAAAAGCTCACAGTCAAATCTGCCATTTGCATCAGAAGATTCTGAATGGGAGTTATTGTAAAGATAAGATTGTGACCCCATCTACACAGGCTTAAGTGTTCTATTTTTTTGTAAGGCTCATGTGATGATGCTTTGAATAATATATATATACACCAAGATCAAATCTGGTTCTAATATGGAAAAGTCAAATTCTTCTTCCTGTCTTTTCTAGTTTCCTTTGCTGCTTTAAACAATAAATAATTTCCAATTAAGCAGGGAACAAGCATGGTTTGATTAATTCGAAAACAGGAGACGAAAACATCTAAACATTGTTCATTTTTTTCCTTCTGTACAGTAAAAGATCCTAATACAGAAAACAATCCGATTGGTAGAAGTTATTGACTTAGAAAAAAATCTTAACTGTGCTATTGAAAGGGATGGATAACAGCTCTGACTCTAAAGCTAAACAGTTTTTTTCTACTTCTTGGCCCTAATTACCAGTATCTGATCCACGTCCTGAGGAGCTACCACTGTCGGAATCTACAGATCAAAAAGAAAAGTCGTGATGTGAGTTCAGAGTTGTGATGCTGATAAGGTAAAAGAGCTTGACAAAGTTTAAACAGTTTTTACCGCTAGAGCAAGATCCTGAGTCACTACTAGAACTGTTAGAACTACTTGATCCACTTGCATTGTTCTCTTTCCGAACACCAGGAGATGACGTGCGGATTGCTTTTCCTGGTTAGAAGAATCATTCATTATTCCACTGGTTTCTCTTTTTTTGTGTACATTAAATACTATTACATCCGACTTCGGTATGTGACCTTGTGAGCTATAACACCTTACCTGATTCAGTAACTCTTGATGTTTCGGTGCCAGTTGCTAGAGTGGTCTGTGAAAACAAAAGAAGAAACAATTATATTAGCCAAAATCATTAAGAGCAGAAGATCTGGATAATAATCAGTTATGAAAATCTTACTGGTTCTTGGATAATAATGTGACCAGATTCAGCATCTCTTTCTGAACCAAATCCTTGATCCTCCTTTTTCTTGCTCAAGCTCTCCTTATACCCAGTCACAAATCTGTAAAGCTCCCAAAGTGTTTCGATGTCAACACTATCAATATCCAGCTCGATCTCATCATCTTGTTGAGAGAGCTCTGGATTCCTCTTCTTTATAATCTGAACAACTGTCTCTAGTTTGTCATAAGGCAAGTCCTGAAGCTCTTCACTGAGTCTCCGTTTCTCGTCCAACGTCAGGTCTCTGGTATTAACAGGCGCCTCCTCTTCTTCAGGCTGCTCGGGAGTAGCAACGACAGTTTCAGGTTCCACTGGTGTTGTCATAGATTCTGCTCTCTCCAAAGTCTTATTTTCAAAAACC